TACAATTGTCCACTGTACAATTGTCTTCTGTACAATTGTCTCACTGTACAATTGTCCCACTGTACAATTGTCATGGAGCCTTTAATTATCCTTACAATTTTTGTTATTTACTTCTTTTCCTATTTTTAACTTCAATTGTCTACTTTCCGCTTTTTCTTTCTGAATTTGCTCTTTTATATATTCATCAATTGGTGCTTTTGAAGCAAATATTTTTTCTATTCTATCTAACAACTTTGGCTTTTTGTTTTTGTAATCTTAAAAAATTAATTTAAAACAAATATTAATAAATCCCCTGAAAAATTGAAATTTTTAGGAGAATTTTTAAATTTTAACGATTTTTCGCCCTAATCCTAGTTTACTAGGTTTTTCAAAAGCCGAAAATACCTTTGAAAAATTTTGTTTTAAAATTTTTATCCAAATCTCCACTTTCAATTAATTCAAGGAAAAATAACATTTTTCTTGCTATAAATGAAATTAAGATTCTTTTATCAATTACTATCATATCATTGTAACGGAAAAGATTTTTCTTTGTTTTATTCCATAGTTTCTACAAATTAATTTTGGATTATTTCAAATTATTTTTAATTATCGGTTATGTCTTTTAAAATTTAGTTTCCATGTCTTATTCAACGAGTTAAGGTAAAAATAGCATAAAAATAATATAATAAATTGAGAATAAGTTAAAGTTCAGTTTCAATTTTGACTTAAGTGGCATTCCTTAATCTCGGCATATCCTACAATACCAACTTAATCAATATATCTCTCCAAATCATTGATCTCCTATGTCACGGCTCCAGAACCACCGGCCCTGGGTCCAGCTTTTTAAAATTTTTACTCTAAGCTACCCAAGTAGAGTGCCATTCTCTAATATACCGTCTAATCACCAAAATCCCACAATATCTTTTTTAATCCCTTCAAATTTGACTTTTGAGTTACAAAAAGAACTTTTAATCCCTCAAATCACACTCAAGAATGTCCAAAATTTGCCACTTTACAATTTTAAATATTAATTGAGCTTTGAAAACAAAAATTTTATTTCCGATTTCCGTCCGATTTCCGACACCTCTAACTGTTTTGACCCACCTCTGTTTAGCAATTATATAAATTTTAAACCTGTATATCAATATGGAACAATTCCTTTCCGAGTATATCATCGTTGTATTTATTTGCAACGTCTTTTAATTTCAACTCTTCAATAGATGAAACCATACGTGTATAGAAAATAAAGAATTTTCTATGCATTATCGTTAACCCAAATATATCATTGTCTAATACTATACAATATATTTGATCGAATATATCCTGCCATTTTCCCCACAAATCAACAGTCCATTTTCTCAATTTTTTGGTTATTTCAGTTTTAAGCCAATCTCTAACATTATTATTAAGAATATCATCCATATGTCTATGCCAAATAAATATATTTACGGCTAGATTATTCAAAAGATAATCCTTCTCGTTGTCGGCATACACCGCATTTGAATAATGTAGAGCTAATTGTTTATTGTCGCTATATACTACAAAGTAGAAACTAGAGGTCGGCGCGGGACGGGATCCCGACGGGATTTTCCGGGATCCCGATCCCGAAATCCCGGATTTTTTTGATTTTCGGGATCATCCGGGATCCGGGATTTTTTCGGGATTTATCCCTCGGGATCCCGTCCCGGCATCGGTTAAAAAATAAAATCCCGACTCGGGATCCCGAACTTTATTTTATAATTTTCGGGATTTTTAAATAAGCATATCCCAAGCATGTCTTACTCTAGTGATTCTCAAAATTTTTGCCTGCGGCGCTGAAAAAGGGAATTATTTTAGCCTACGGTCTTCGAAATTTTAAAAATTTTTGCCTGCGGCGCTGAAAATGGAAGAAATCTGGCTTCATGTGCTCCAAAATTCTCAAAATGTTCGCCTGCGGCGCTGCAAACGGAGAAATTTAAAGGTATTATCGGAGGTGTAGTGGATGGATTAGTATATAGTGGGATTTTATCAAGGGACCTAGTGATTAATCCACCTGTATCCCTCTAAATCTATTAGATTTTTACGAATTAAGTATTATTTACATATAAATTGCAGTATTTTGATGCATTTTATTTATAAAAATTTAAAATTTTTGATTTTTTAAAAAATCCCGAATCCCGAGTGGGATCCCGGATAATTATTTTCGGGATTTTTGAAATTCGGGATTTATCCCTCGGGATCCCGTCCCGGCCTCGGTTAAAAAAAAAAATCCCGACTCGGGATCCCGGAAGTGCGATTTTGCCGACCTCTAGTAGAAACTCGGAGAATTTTTAAATAAGTAAAAAATAATACTTTTAATTATTTATTTATTAAATACTAGAGGAGAGAGTCGTCCTTCGGGCGAGCCCCTTCCGCTAATCAAATTCTAAATTATTACAAAGACATACTACTTTAGTTTAAAATAACTCATACTTAACAACTCCCTCATTACTATACAGATCTAGGCCATGTATACTATTTATATCAATGTCAACACACCAAATGATATAAACTTTTCAACTATCAACTTTTAGTTAATAATTGTTCAAGTAACTATCAAACATTCTAATAACTAACAACTATTTAGTTAACAGTTCTTTTATTAAATATCACCAATAAACTTAACAATATCAACTTTTCAACTATCAACTTTTAGTTGGAGTATAGCTATCAAGGTTATGCCATAAATAATGTGTTCTAAACATTTATTGTCACCCTGTATAAACATTCATTCTCGTATATGTTACTTTTGGAAACATTTTTTAATTTAATATAATTTTCTTACTATTTTTGCATTCCTGCTTTAAATGACCGTCAAGAGTGCATGCTTCTTTGCATATCTCGTTGGCTAGAATTTTTAGTGAAAATATTGTTAAAATAAATGTTAAAATAGTTATTTTAACATATAACATCTTAATTTAAAATTATATATAAAATTATTAAATAAAAATTAAAGTCGCTTTCCTTTTAAAATAAAATAAAAATTCAATATTAATCCTTATCCTATCTAAAGTGCTTTAATATATAGACATCAAAAGATATTAAGGCGGGATTTATTTTTGTTTTTATTTTATTAATAAGAATATAGAGTCCTTAATTTAATTCTATTTTTCTATATCCCTTAAATTGCGACAAATGTAAAGAACTTTAAACTTCAGAATATATATCAAGAATTAAATGGAAGATTGAGACAATCACGCTCAAGCCACAAATATTAATTTTACTGTTATTAAATTAATATTTAAATTTAATTTTCATACTCAAATATTAATTACAATAAAAAAATATTTTCGGCAATATAAAGCAAAAAAAAGCATTAGCACTTGTAAAGAATTTTGCCGCCCATCAAATGACTAAATCGAATTTATAAAAGGAAACGTCTATATGCGTAAATGTCTAGCTAAATAATTTTTATATACAAGTGCATCGCACTTTAATAATTAATTTAAAACTGTTTAATTTTGAAATAGTGTATTTAATTTTCTAATATTTAAATGTTTAATTTTGAAAATTTAAAATTTTGAAATTAACAATTTTAAATATTATTGAGTAAAGGGAAGATGGATGTTGAATTTTCTTCGCTAGTGTTATAAACAGGGTGGCCCTTTCCGAAACACTAAAATAGGGCGCAGCCACTCAAAAATAGGGCAAAAATAGGGCAAAAATAGGGCGAAATCGGCCAAAAATAGGGCAAAAAATAAGGCATTATTTAAAAATTATTAAAATTTCAATTAAGAATCTTTATTCTATATATTTTTCACTAGTTTTAACTAAATTGAGCAAATGGAGGGATATAGAGGGATTTTGAGCAATTATTAATGGAATTGGGGTTAACAGAGTTATCTAGGGAATTTAGGATCAAGAAAGTTATCTAAGATGGATAAATGGTTAGAAACTTGTAGTTATCTAGGGATTTGTGAGGATTCAGTGGGTTTGGGGGTAGTAGAAACATTGGGTATTTTTACGTCCAATTTTGGTGGATTAAGTGCCGGGATTGGGGGATTAAAAGAGATATCGAGGCACTTGGGGATTAATCCCTCAATGTCCCTTCATATACCCTTAATTATTATAGATTACATTATATCCAACTTAGTCTTCTATCCACGTTAATCTTTGCCTACACCATTAATGTCTCAAATCCATTGATATTTCTCATTGATATCACTCTTTATCATACAAACCCTCGTTATCTAGTCAGACCCCATAATCCTAGTAAATCCTCCTAAATCGTTTATAGTAAAATCCGCCTATATTCCACTCAAGCCCTTCCAATCGATAATTTCACACAAAGTCTTCAAAGATTCTTCGTTTTTCAGCGCCGCAGGCAAAATTTTTAAGAACTTTTAAGGCCAGAAGCCAAATTTTTTCTTTTTTTGCGCCGCAGGCGAAAATTTTAGGAATTTTGGAAGGCCGTGAAGCCAGATTTCTTATTTTTTCTGCCATTTCCTTTACGAAATTCTAAAATTGTAAAAATTTTACAAAATGATAAAAATTGGGCAAAAATATGGCAAATGTAAAAATAGGGAAAAAATAGGGCGGAAAGGCTGAAAATAGGGCAAATGCACTGTAAATAGGGCAAAAGGTCCACCCTAGTTATAAAGGCAAATTTTCTCTTGAAAAAATTTTTATGATAAGGAAGCTAGTAGTCAAAGCTTTGATTTTAGCACTATTGTAACAAAAAAGATATTTGCTAATTTGGAATAGAAGTGCTATTTCTAAATAAATGATTGTGTTCTTTTTCTGAACGAGAGAAATCTTTCAAAAACTTTTAGAAACATCTCATGACACTTTATCATAATCAAGCAGTAAAAAGCAAGAAAGTCGAATAGATTATAAAATAAATATTGAAGAACAATATGAATTAATAATATTTTGTAGTGCTTAACATTAATCATTATTGGGAATTCATATTTTTAAATATATGTTTAATCCTTCCAAATTCTTTAGCATATGCTTTTTTAAAATCAGAACTGAAATATATTTTTTAATTGAGATATGTATCTTTAAATTAAATCCCCAAACCTGTTGAAAAAAAGAATAGGACCATTAGATGCTGCGGATATATTAATTATAATTCCAAAATAAACTTTTAAAAACCAAATATCAATTTCTGAAACCCCCAAAAGTTGCCATAAAATAACTAATAGCATAACAATAAAATAGCCACCAATATTTACAAAAACTATGAGAGAAAGCGAGCGTACCAATTTTCGCATCTTTTCATCATGCAAATCTGTATTAAATTTGAAAATTGTATTGTTCTTCATGTGTTAATTATGCACGAGAGCTTGACTATCAATTTACCTCCTTTAATTTTTACCAGAATACCAACAGCAATATGTAATACAATTGCAATTAACATTAAGGGTATCAAAATAATTGTTGTATTAAATGAATTAGGAGCAGTAAGGCCAACAACTGATCCAATGTAATTAATTACAGGCCAATTTGGATATACTTTTATTAAAGTATAATCCAAATTAACAATAAATATTCCAAAAATAATAACTATTATCAGATGTATTGAAATATATAGGCGAAAACTGAGGTTATTGTAACTGTATAAAATTTACAAATTTAAGGTCATTTAGTATAAGGTTATTTAGTATACTTATAAACATATTAAAGATACGGAAATAATTAAAATCCTAGAGTGCGGTAAAGTTGTATCCAGTCCTTTCGGCTAATATGTCAGCTTAAGAAAACGGTATTGGGTTTTCAAAAATTTTTGGTAATGATTAAAACTCTGAAATTAGTAAGATTGTGATGTTTCAATTAATAATTTTATAAAATAGAAATTCGAAATTCAGTAAAGGATTAATTGCTAAAAGGAAATCCTGTGTGACCAATAACGAAACGTTGGGATTCCGACGATCCTGTTTGCTTCTTAAAACTCGAGCCCGGGGTTGATATACAGTAATATCTCATACGAAATCTTGAGATACCGTAATAAGCATACGTATTCCGTGCGATTTAAGACATGAAAATAACCAGTGAAAAATTTTGTAAAATGATGATGAAAATTAATTACTATATAGGAAAAGCGACGGCGAAAACCCTATCAAAACTTATGGATGTAAACATAAATACTGATGCAAATACACCAAAGACTGATATAAATTGATATTTAAATGCTTCAATCGCTGGTACAAAATTAATTCCTTTTATTATAAAAATCAAAAAGAATAAATGGCCAATTTGGTGTAAAACTTCACAAAACGAGTTAATAGCTAGTAAAATGCTTGTTTTGCTTTTCATTGCCGCATATTTTCCCCTGAAAAGAATTTTGATTATTTTAGGAAGAAATAGAATTTTGATAACTTCATAAAACAGGAATAATGTGAATTAATATCCTGCATTTTCCTTTCTCTTTTATTGTATTTTTCATAAATACATATCACAAATTACCTAATTTAATTCTTTTTTAAAAAAAGAATTAAGATTGTCTATTATATGATTTTCTATTATGATTGACTATTTATGAGGTGTATTAAATCACCCTAAATAGTCGGTACGGAGTATATTTATTTAAAGAAATAAAACAATTATAATATAAATTTATTTATGTGTTTGTTCTTAATTATTGACTTTTATTGTTTTATGATGTTTATATTTGTATTGCATTTTTATATGTATCACACTACAACATTGTTGTCGAAATAAGTGCTCTTTTTATGAAATTTTTTTACGTTTATGAATAAACAAATACAAAAAAGCAGTACAACTTCATTGGCGATAAGTACCTAACAAAATCATTGGCGATAACTACCTAGCAAAACATGGTACAGAATTCATAAGAAATCATTGGCAATTATTTAGAAACTTTTAAAATTTGTATTACCAATATTTCCAAATAATATAACACACACTTGAATTTATAGTAATTCCAAATAAAGCAAACAAGCATGTAATGAATGCCGGAAGGAAAAGATCAAATTGAAAACCAGATGATGGATATGCAAGAAAAATTTCCTTAATTTATTTTTAATTATGGATGTGATCGACAAAGTTCAACATTATGCTTTTAGAAGTGATCCGAAATTCGTTTTTTTTCATGTAAATTTTTTCATAAAAAGAAATATTTTTAGTTGTATGTATATATTTCTTAGCCGGGATATCAAGTAAATTAAAGGGATGTCATCATCGGAGAGACTTCTGCCATAGGAAAGAAAAAAATAAGGAATCATTAATTTTTTTCCAATTTATGGAAATTTTATAATTAGCAGAATTTCCTTGATCTTTGTCAGAAATTGAAATTTACAAACGCATGAATAAACTAACAGGTAATTTCAATGTTGTATTATTCATTTTAAAATAATGCTTATTAATTTAAGAATATTTTTGATTTAAAATTTAAGAGATTTTGATAGTCGTGGATTGGATAAAATTAACTAAATTATCTTAAATAATTATGAAAATTAAGGAAATATGTAACTAATAATAATTTTTTATGAAATATTTTAAATAAAATATATTTTATTTTTAAAGAAACATAAAAAATATTTCCGATTTTAAATAGAATATTATTTTATTCTTGAATATAAATTTAATTTATAAAATAAAATTTACTGAGAATTGTGAAACAAACCCAAAATTTTATATAAATAATGAAATTACATTCATCTAACTTAAGTCAATTAAGCACTTAACACGAGAAATACAATATAAAAACTTAATTACAATATTATTAAATAAAATTACATTTAATTGTTAGTATTGAGCTTTAAAAAAATTACCAAAATAGAACACAGGCTAATTAGGTTCATTTACATCAGGTTCATTAAAAACGAAACACAAAATGCGAGAATTTATTATCAGCCCTTTTTTGGCACATGCCAAACTCGTTTTCTCGAATAATGGCAAAAAATCTCAATTTACAAATTAAAACAATTTCGGATAGGAAAAGACTTTTGCTAAAATTTTTAATCAGTTAGAATAACAATTGCTATCTTGTAGCAAATTTAAATGGCTTTCAAATAAGTCTAAAAAATTTTGGCTCTACTCCAGTTTATGCGTCCAATCGACTTTTATGCGTCCAATGAAAGTTTATGCGTCCAATAAAAAGAAAATTGGATATTTCTTGGTGTTGCACAGTTGGGGTATGGGTCCAAAGCATTTCTTCATGTTCGGGACCTACACCCACTGGGTCTGGGACCATTCCTTACCCTATCCCTCGAAATTTCTTAAAGTTATAATTGGTTTTCTGAAATTTGAAAAAATTGGCTGTAACTTTAGGAAATTTCGAGGGATATGGCAATGAATGGTCCCAGACCCAGTGGCCGTAGATCCCAAACATGAAGAAATGTTGTGGAACCATACCCCAACTTTGCAATACCAAGAAAAATCCTATTTTCTTTCTATTGGACGCATAAACTTTCATTGGACGCATAAAAGTCGATTGGACGCATAAACTGGAGTAGAGCCAAAATTTTATTAGGTTTCGAAATTTCATTAAAAATCTTACACCTGTTTTACGTTTATTTTCACAGTATGAGAGTAAAAAAAGTAAATTTGATGCAAAATTAAGTAAAAAATGTCCATAAGTAAATTACATATGAAAAAGTAAAAATTAAAATGTTAATTTTGTATTAAATTTAAACAAAAAACTAAATTCTCGAATTATATATAATGCGAAGTAAAACGAATTGTGAAAATAATAATAGAGAAATAGCATTTGAAATAGAATTGTGAAATAGTATTTAATTATTTTCATCATTGAGAATTTATATTTTTAATAGCTTTTTTAATTCGTCCAAATTCTTTAGCATATGCATTATTAAAATCAGAACTGAAAAATATTTTTAATCGAGATGTGTATCTTTAAATTAAATTGAATCCCCAAACCTGTTCAAAAACAGAATGGGACCATTCGAAGCTGCAGATATATTAAGTATAATCCCAAAATAAGTTCTTAAAAACCAAATATCAATTTCTGATAATCCCAAAACTGGCCATAAAACAGCTAATGTCAAAACAATAAAATAACCACCAATATTTACAAAAACTATTAGAGAAAGCGAACGTAACAATTTACGCATCTTTTCGTCTTGCAAATCTTTTTAAATTTTAAAAGAATTAAATATAAAATAAGATAGATGAATATAAGATAAGATTATTTAATTTTGTGGTTTCCTATTGTTAAGATTCTTTAAATTCAAAGATTTTAGAATCCGACTTATAAAAATAAATATTTGATAGATTTTTATAAGTTTGACAATGTTTGATTGTTGTATTCTTTGCATTAGATATCTTGATCGGAAGGACTAGGGTAATTACTTTCTGGGTCGAAGTTGGTGTGTAGAGGATGTAGGCTTCAGGTTCGTGTTTTACTTTTCTGTCGGGTGTCGGGGTGTCAAAAAATTCTCAACTAAATATTTATGCGCCGCAGGCGAAAATTTTTTGATTTATAGTTGCAATAAGACACTAGATCTTTATTTTGGTGTTTGGCGAATAAATTTCAACTATGTAAATAAAAATAACTGCATATCCGTTTACCTCCTTTAATTTTTACCAAAATTCCAACAGCAATATGTAATATAATTGCAATTAACATTAATGGTATCAAAATAATTCTTGAATCAAATGAATTAAGAGCAGTTACGCCAATAACTTCTCCTAAAAAATTAGCTACAGGCCAATTTGGATAGGCCTCTATTGAAGTATAAGTCAAGTGAACTATAAATATTCCAAAATTAATAATCATTATCAGATGTATTGAAATATAGAGATGATAATTAAGATTGATGTAACTGTATAAAATAGGCAAATTAAAACCATGTAAATACACGTATAAGTAAAAAAATGGGTCTCTCTAAATGGGTCTCTCTAGGGAGGTTTTATAGGGTCTTATACTTTTTCCGACTGGCGCCGAAAATTCCAAAATCTTACGTTACGATTCCGGTAACGGGAGACCGAAAAATACCGGTCCGTTAGTAACGTTCAGACTTTTTTCGGATCTGGATCCACCAAACTTACTGGAGACTTGGTGTGATCGAATCTAGGGGGTCTTATATAGGGGGAACTATCTAGGGTGGTCTTATAGTCTCCATTTCGGATTGCGTTTCAAATTTTTAAAATTTATTTGTTAAATACTTATTTATAGTAATTAATATTTTATAAATTTTCATTGTTGTAAATTTATGGAGGTTGAAAAATCTGACAATTTTTGAGGGACTTTTAGTTTCTTGATAATTCAGAACTAAACTCTACTTCGTAATTCTAGATTTGGCGAATCTATAATTATGAAGCAGTACGAATATAGATTCCATTCTTCTAATATATAACGTGATTCCACTATATTCTCCTAGCTCACAACCTCCTCTACATTTAGGTAAGTTATAATGGTTTCATAAAATTATTAGTTACAATATTGGAAATGCAATAGCAAAAACTCTATCCAAACTTAAAGATGCAAACATAAAAATTGACGCAAAAAAACCAAAGATCGGCATAGCTTGATATTTAAAAGCTAATATAGCTGGCACAAAATTACTTCCTTTTATTGTAAAAATCAAAAAGAATAAATGACCAATTTGATGTAGGACTTCACAAAATGAGTTGATAGCCAGTAAAATACTTGTTTTGCTCTTAGTTGCCGTATATTTTCCCCTAAATTATTTAACCCGATTTAATTTTATAGAGTAGTTTGCAAAGGTTCAGCTTTGAATTCTATTTTATATCGTAGGTGTATAATTCAAGGATCTTGAGTTATCATAGGTTCTCATTAAATAGTAACACTAGTTAACACTATGTCTGCCTGATTTCCGTAGAATTCCACAGAATCACGAATGATTCTGATTAATCAATTAAATCAAATAATAAAAATAATCAATACAAACTCAATAATTAATTGAAACAGGCTTCTGATCGCTTTCTAATGATCTAAGTTTATGTACATAGCAAGACTGGGCGAAATCTAAAAATAAAAAGCGAAATGCGGAAAGCGTAACTTTTCGCCTTGAAAAACGTGAAAAATGCGAAAGATGCAAAAAAAGAAATGAAAAATAAGCCTAGCCCCGATACTTAGGTTACTGATCTTAATTGATTATCTTCACCATCGATAAAATAGGATTTAGGATTCTTATAAGCAAATCATGGTAGTAATTTTATAAAATATTCAAGATTTAAATTACCAATATTTCACAACTATATAACAAACACTTGAATTCATTGAAATTCCAAATAAAGAAATTAAACCCAGAAAAAATGCAGGGAGAAAAATTGCAAATTGAAAGCCAGAAGATTGGTAAGCCAGAAAAATTTCCTTTAAATTTTATTTTTAATTTTTAGATTAAAAAGGTTGGTAAAATATTTCAATTTCTAAGACCTGTTAAAAAGGATAGTGGGGTATTTACTAGCTGAAAGCTCAGTGGAACTGTAAGAAATTTGCAATTCAAAATTAGTTGTGAGTAGAGTTGGACGATATCGATATCGATATTGGAAAAAGACCGATATATGATATATCGATATAGATCTCGACTTGTTCAACTCTGAGTTCGTCGGTCTTGGGATCAATATTTGTTTTGATTAATGGATAATTTTCAATCACAAACGTCCCTAAAATTTACTAACGCATAAATAAAATAACAGGTAATTTCAATGTCGTATTATTCATTATTAATTAATGTAGTATAATATTTTTTAAAAATTATTTTGGAAATTAAAATTGGATTTTATTTGTCGCTAATTGGAAAAAATATGATATTAAATATTTTTTAAATTTAAATAAAATGAATTGAAATTTTTACTGAAATATTTCAAACAAAGATTTTACTATTGAATTATAAAAATATTACCTCAATTTTTTATTAAAAATTAAATTAATAATGTAGCTTAAAAGTTACATGCTTAAACTAAAATTACTAGCTAATAAAATTATATACATCAAGCTTGAAACAATTACGCCACGTTAAATTTAAATTATAGGCTTGTTTAAAATTTATTAATTAAATTTAAATTATGTATTTATTGTAAATATCATTCTTGCTTTACTAAAATGTACCGGAACCAATTATAATTTAATAATTTAAATAAAATTTATTTCATTCAAAACGGCAAAACTGCCACAAATTTTTTAAACAATAATGTAAACTGATTTAAATTTTCAAATGTAAACAACAAAAAAAATATAAAAAATTTATAAAATCGTTGTAAATAAAGCAATTATTGATTAAATGAATAGGTAGATTGTTGTGGTAAATTAATATAATAAAAAGTTTTTTGAATCATACATACATGTGATCTTCAATTTATGTAGATATTATATGAAAATGTGTGGGAATACCAGAAAAATTTCTCACACCCCAAAGGTTATACCTCATTAGTAGGCCAAGTTAAGAGAAAAATAAAAATTAGCCATGACATGAATCCCGATATGCCGTCCCAGGCAAACCCAATCCCCAAAACTCAGGACCCTATGAGTCAGGGTGCTACCCTAATTCCAATAATATTCCCTGCTTACAATTTAAGAAGTTAAATTTTCTTAAAATTGATAAACGACAAGAAACATTTTTTAAATTTTTAAAAATAAAATATTTTATTTCAAAAAATGGTGGTTAAAAATAAATAAATACTAAAAAACAAAAAATGAGAGAGAAAGATAAATATGAGAACAATTAAAAAATTTTCTTTGATTAAATAAATTAATCGTTTAATCTTTACAACAAAAATTATCCTGCCGCTTCGGCAAGTTCAGCCAAAGGCTCCAAAACTGGAACAAAACGAACACGATCTGAACCACCAGAAGATGAACGACGACGATGCCGACCAGAATTATGTCCAGACAAATAACTTTCATCAGCCATAGGCTTTAAATGATGAACTGAAGAATCCTCACCAACATTTGTGGGAGACAATGGACGGCTATATTTATCAGGAATGACAGATTTGAGGTAAACCTGGAAAAAATAAAAAATAATAAATTTAAGTCTAATAAAATTATTTTGGAGTCGGAGTGCGAAACGGAATACCGTACGACATTTAATTAAATAATTTAATTAAGACATTTAATAATACATTAAAATTTACTCCGACATTAACCGACATTGGGCAAAAAAAATTTTTTTTATTTAAAATTCTGAAAGCAAAAAATCTTTTTTAGACTTACATCAGGAAGTAATTTATCAGGCTGTGCCTCATCTCTCACAATTCGCACTGAACCAATATTACCTTTGATCAACTAAAAATTTTATAAATATATTTTATTATTAGTCAATTAAAGGACCTGTTCATAACGAATTAATTGCCTCCAAAACCCAATATTTGGTCTAACTAAAGGCCGTTTTTCACACATTAAATGGTAAGCATCACGTAATGACCGAGTTCGATATTTGAGCAAATATGCAAGACAAATACTTGCTGAACGGCTAACACCCGCAACACAATGGACAAGAACGGCGCCACCATCTCGAATAATGGCATGCATCTGGAAATAATTTTTGATAAGGCTAGGATTAATTTACAAAATAAGCCTATGTAAATAAGGTAAAAAGTTTATTCAAGGTTCTAAACCGATTTACTTATAGAATATCGAACTCACGCAAGCTGGGGGACCTCCGACTGTATTCATTGGAGACCCTATGAGGAAGGGCAGTCCCTTAGAATCTTATAATTTCCCTCCAAAGTAAAGTTTGCATAATCTCTTATACTAACAATAATAGAGGATTTAAAAGTAAGCTTGCCCCAACACTGTGACCTCCAAATTTGGGTTGATTTTTTAGACTTTTAACGAACTAGTCTGTTCTAGTTCCTTTTACTAGTTAAACAGTTGATTATCCACCTGATCGGCAACCAAATCAAAATGAGCAAATAAATCTTCTTCAGGTGTATCCTCAACCCACAATTTCATTCTTGGTACTTGCCCCAAACATTTAAGGTTCGGAACCTCTCGTGTACAGTTTACGACTAATTGAATTCGGAAAGCACAAATATTCGCTGCTGTAAGCCCATTAACACCACAAATGAATAAACCAGGAATTATTTCAGATAATTGGGCATACTCTTCATTTACACGGAATGATAAAGGTGACATATTTTTTAATAATTTAATGTTGTTTTTTATGGAAGGATGTTTGAAAAAATATTTTTTTAATTATTAAATGAAAGCAAATTTTCTGTGTGCGTCTAAAAATAATTAAAATTAGTCTATAAAATTGTCGAAAAAAAATAATTAAAAATTTCTTAGGAATGGAGAAATAATTAAAAAATTATAAACACGGATGAATATTAATAAAAAATGGCGGTATGTAACAGGGATGGATCCGCTTCCGCCTTTCGAAGAATTCCGCTTTTTTGAGTCTTCCGCTTCCGCCTTTCACTTTTTAAAATTGAAAATTCTCAATCCCTGGAATGTAAATCAATGATAGAATTTTTATATAAAAGTCAGGGTAATCGAGAAAGTTTCAGTTCGGATATTGAATCAGACCCAGACAATTTAAAGGATCCGCCAACCCCAATAATAAATATCATCAAAATAAAGAAAAAATAATTTAAAAAATTAATTAATGAGAATCTTTTTGAAAAAGGTCATTAATCTTTAGGTGATAAAATGTACATAAACTCAATAAAAAGATACATAATAAAAATTGGAGGTTAATAATAAAAGTATACTTTAATTAATCAAATTATATCAATAATTACTAAAGATATTTTTTATAAATTAATTAAAAATAAAATAATTAAATGGCTAGACCAACAAAGAATTAGAATGATAATAATTGCTTATAATTAGAGACCGAACTGGGAGAATTTTCGATCTCGATAACAGAGATTTTCGATCGAGATCTCGTCTCGGTCATGTCTCTACTTATAATTAACTCCTTGCCGAATATAAGATTAATTTAAGAAATTTAAATTTTATCAATTCCAACGTAAGATATAAGCGATTATCTAAGAAAATATAAAAACAAACGATTGGACACCTTTTTAAAATTCAAATTACAAAATTAGAGTTGTCAAGCAAAGGTATTAAAAAAGGAAAAATTGTGTTTTTTGGCTAAGGGTTTTTTAGCTAAATTATTTTAAAATTTAAATTTAAAATAAACTTGTTTAAATAAAAATTTCAGACTAAATATTATTTAAATAATATTCCAAAAATAAATATCTAATTATTTATTTAGTCAAAATACACGTGAATTTTGAGTGTTCTATGGAAGATATAAAAAAAGATAAAAAAAATATAAATTCCAAATATAAATTTGGATGAGTAATTTGGTTAAATTAAATTTATAGTGCCACACAAAGTATTTAAATTGAAAAAAAAGTAAATAAAATTATTGAAAATTAAAGTTAAAAATTAAAAAAATGGTAGATAATATGTACTGGTTAAATAATTAATTATGAGATAGTTAAGGAAAGATATAAAAAAATAATTTAGAATAATAATTTTAATTTAAAAAAATACAAAATTTTTTAAATAGCAAAAAACACTAATTACCGCAAAGCCTTGCTCAAATAAAAATGGACCAATAAAATGTTTTATAGAATAAAAGTCTCCAAACGGGGTCCAACCCTAGAACTATTTGAACTATTTCAACAGAGAAATTAATGCCCAAGTTTTTTGCCGAAAGATGCTAGATTAAACTAGATCTAAATCCACTTACTACAGTAAAACTCAATCTAACCTAAGATAAGTTGAGCACGAGAAGCTGTATGTAGAAGTGTGGTCGATTGTGCAAAACACAAGAAATTTTTACGTCAAAACGGAACTAAAGTTTTTAATAATGTATCTCTACCCAACCTTACAGTTAATTGAAATTTGTAGTTGATTTTACATTTTATTTTTACGGAAATAATCTTAAAAAAGACTAAAAGTAATTAAAATCATTTTAAAAATATTTTTCTTAATTCTGATAATTTGAAATATTTTTTAAACATTAACTATCACATTATCATTTAGTAAATTTATTCATTATTAAAATAATATAATCTTTTTAAAAGAAAAAACCTCAAAAATTAAAAAAAAATTTTACAAATTTTTCCTTCGAATTTTTTATTGGAGTTTTCTCGTCCATTTTTTAATATTAAAAAGCCCCTTATTTTATGATTAAATGATAACGGAAAAATTAAAATAAAACAAATAAACCGTAAAACAATTAAAAAGGCCAAGGAATAAAGTAAAATATTTGAAAAAATTTTTATTAGACATAAAAGTATCGACAAGTAAAAAAAAAGACTCAAAGGAAAAAATCTGCTTGGGGGTAGAGACAATTTGCTTTAACACTAGCATCGTTGATAAAAATTTCAATTCTCCCATGTGTAATGATTTATACTTTTCAAAAAAATTTTTAAAACCAAAGTCGGTTAAAAATCCCAAATTATAAATTTTTGGATACGTAAATTTTGTTAATTGAAATAGGTTCAATTAAGAAAAAAAGATAAGATAAAATAAATTTTAACATTTTATTCTATAAAAAATTTTCTCAAAATTTATCTAGGGTTTTTTGATAATAATAACTAAAATAAAAAAAATTTTTTTCCTCTAGAATTAAAATAATAAAGAAATGTTAGGAAAAATTAAACAGCTGGTGATTTAAATACATATATTCAAAAAGAAACTAATAAATTAAAAAAGAATAAAAAATAATTCTTTGTGTGACAAAGGATGTAATAAAAATAATTAAAATAAAAATAACTTTGAATAAAAATAGAAAATAAAAAATAAAGAAAAAATCGAAAAACGTGTTAGTAAAATCAACAAAAATATTTTTTATAAAAATATTTTAATTTGAAAAATGTGAGTTGAAAAAAATAATTTTTAAACAAATAAAAATCAAAAATTGAAGGATTGATTATAAAAAATTTACAAGAAATACAAAGAAAAGTTTAGGCAAAAAACAAAATTAGAAAGTCTGAAACAACTCAAATCATTAATTATTTTTTAATAAATTTTTTGAAAAAAAATAATTGAAAAAAAAATTAAAATTATTTTTTGTTCAATTGTTGACAAATTTTATTCCTTTTTTTTAAACAAGTATCAGTTAGCTTTTTGGCTTTTGATGGATGTTTTAAATTTTATAAATGTACTTTAATCTTTAAAAATTTTTTTGTTTTTATTTCTTCTAAGTATTTTAAGAAAAGTTTAAAAAAAGTTTACATAAAAAATAGAAAATATTTCAAATATTCAGATCCAAAAAAGGAAAAAAATAGAAAACTTAATTCGTATCTTTTCTGATAGAATTCTGTGGTAGTCATGTAATACAAAATTTTTCAGATATACGCGGATAAGGATATTAGCTGATATATAAAATTCGGATCCGGTTAAATAAAATTTCTAGAATAGATAGAAACTGAGTTTCGAATTGTATATAGAACATATATATGAAAAGTACTAATGCCAAATACATGATAGGCCGGCTGAAAGCATATTTAGCGATTTTTAGTATATTATTAAATTATTCTAATAGCAGTATTACATGATACAACGAAAGATTCATGATACGTTTAAAATAAAAGAGGATCCGATTTTAATAAAAAAACTGAACAAAAATTTAAAGAGAATTAAAGAAAAAGATATCATTTTGGACAGGGTATTCCCTCAATCAGAGTGTTCAAGTCCGTGGCAGGTACAAAGTCCGTAAAGCAAAAAATGAAAAAAGGCAATCATTTCAAGGTCCAAAAATTAGTAAGAGAAATAACAAATGATAAATTTTCTAGATTATTTGAGTGACAGAAAAATTAAAAAAAAAAGAAAAATAAAATTAGAAAGAAATTAAAATTAAATTATTGACAGTTGTTGAATTAAAATTTTAAAAGTAAAAAATGAAAAAAAAGAAATTAAAAATAACAACAACAGGAACTAGTTTTCTCAAATTCCCCGAAATTAGGGGACGGGACAATTCTAATTAAGGTAGCTCCACGGGTCTTTGAAGACGGATTTGTCGGGAATCGGGGGTTGCCGGGGAAGAGCTTCAGGGTTCGCGTGTTTCTGCCACAATAAATTGTCGGAGTATAGGGGCTACTCTACTTCTAATGAATATCTAAATTTTTAAAAAATTCCTCTAATCCCAAAAAATAATTACAAGGATTTTAATTTTTTAATTTCAATTTTTAATTATACATACATAAAGTATTTTTCTTTCTAAAAAGAAATCTACATACATAATTTTTTTTATTTATCAGAAAAAACTTTTTAATTTTGAATAATAAAAGGCTATTTTATACAAAAATTCTTTTTATAATACATAGGCCAAACGCCAAACAATCCCATGACTTCTAAGAAAGGAAAACTAAAAATAAGGCAAAGAATAAATATACATACAACAAAACGTGATATATTTAGTTGGACGCAAAAATTTGTTTTAAAAAATAAAAAAATTGAGAAGAAATTGATTAAAGAATAAATGAAAAAATTGGTTATTGAGCTTTTGTTAAAGAAATTAATTAATTAGATGAATAATACATATACATACATTTGTATATGGAAAAAATAATAAAGAAAAGTAAATCAAAGTAAAATGAAAAATTGAAAAAAAATTTAAGATATATGTAAAAAAGAAGAGATTCCCTACTTAAATTTTTTAAATTTAAATTAGGTATAGAAATTTTTTGGAAAATACTAAATTAAAAATAAAATTAACTTGAGTACATTTATGAATTAAATTGGCTAAAAAATTCTTTTCTGACAAGAATCTCACAAGTTAAAAAAGTTGAAAGATTGAACGATTCTTTTAAATGAAGTTGATGAAATTAAAGATAATTCTTACAATTTTCCACTAATCTACAAAAAAAGTCGAGTCGGGTTTTGGAAAAGAAAAATTATCGGGTCGGATTTCGTGTCAAAAAAGTTCGCGCTTCAAGTAACCATTGACATCCCTAACTTGTGCAATAAAATCCTTATGGCTATTATCTATGGATTCACAGGTTGAGAAAAAATCCGAGTTTCGAATCGGGTCTTTAAGAATTTCTTCAGAAAGAGTTTCGGATTGAGAAAAACTTTGGGTTTAGTGTCCGTTAAAAATTAAAATTTAGCATGAAAGTTGAAAATACGTGTAATTTTGGACATACCTTTCCATTGGAAACCTCCCACGACTG